GAAGATGTGCATTACTGGGAGGAGAAAGCACTCTCTTGGGTGGGCAGGGAGTAAGGCCAAGGTGAGCCATCAGAGCCTTGCTCTGATGAAAATTACTAACAGAATGCAGGCAAAAGCAGACATACTCAGGTGCAGGCTCACTTGAAAGGAACTTCTCTAGAGGAAAGTGGGGAAAACTGGTCAGAAGGGAGAAGAGGTAAAAGAGTGTGGTGGATTGTGGAAAGAAAAGGAGATGAGGACTTACTGAGAAAGGGAGATATTCACCTGAGTCCAACATCATTAACATCATCCCACATGGAGGCGGGGACTTCCCAGAATGTTTTCTTCATACTGTTCATGATTGCCTAGAAGGCACACACAGATTGGATAATGAATAATCTGAAGACCAGCAGATATGACTGTTTGGGTAAAGAGTGGAATATGGAGTATGGAAGAGGACTCAGAGAACCATAGGAGGAAGTCAGAAGCATAAAGCTGGGATTAGAGCTCAAAGGACACCTGGGCTCCTGCAAAGGCATTGTTGACCAGCACATCTAGACGCCCCTGCTGCTCTCGGGCCACCTGCTCAAACAGGCTTTGCACTTGGCTCTCCTGGCTTGAATCACACACCACAGGATAACACTTGCCTCCACGAGATTGTGCCTAGAGAAACACAGTTCACAAGATTAGCTCACAATTGAACATGAGACATACTGCAACTACCAAGCACGCTTGGGAACTGAGAAGACAAACCACAGGAATCAGAACAGAGAACATGCTGGCAACATTGTCATCTGGTGGCAGTTTGAGGAGTGATAGTCCTTTCCCACTCTCTAAGCTAGAGGGCAAGCAAAGTTGTGTCATCAGCATTACGCACGTTGTAGATGAGTCTTCCTCCAGTCCTGATGACATACATCCTCCTCTTCACAGAACCCAGCTTCATAGATGATGGATGATTTGCTCGGCATACATATTGAATAGGTATGGAGAAAGGATACAACCATGACACACAACTGCTTCTTGGTCTAGGAATTCATGCTGCTAAAGCACAATTAAATATTCTGGGATCCTGTGCTTTGAGGACAATAAAGGGGAGGGAAGTTCTCTAGAGAAATGAATAACCATGCTTTGGTCTTTGGTCATTACCATCTCTCATGCTCATAGCTCTCACCCTTCACCATTCACCTCAGCCCTCCTACCTTCATTTCATCTCTCCTCCTTGGAACTTGGAACCCTTACGCATGAACTATTTTTACTTCACAGTCTACGTTATCCTTTATAAATAAGCTCCACTCTCCACTTTAAGAGAAGGGAGATCTATTGACTAATACCCACTATCCTCGTGACTCATGCTCTGGATACCATCCACCTTGCTTAAACTGACTGCAATGTCTCCTGACTGCTCACTTGATCTCTAGTTTTTCTGCTTAAATTAATTCTACATATTACAGTGTAAACTGTCTAAAACACAGGTTCTGTCATCTTGTTATGTTTAAAATGTTTCATGTTTATGTTTAAAATCTAGAATTTATAAAATACTTGAGCACCACAAGATAAAAGTAAATAACCCAATTGGAGAACGGGCACAAGATATTAACAGACACTTCACCAAAGAAGACATTCAGATGGCCAAAAAGAACATGAAGAAATGTTCAAAATCCCTAGCTCTAAGAGAGATGCAAATCAAAACAACTATAAGATATCATCTCATCCCAGTAAGAATAGCAAAATTTAACAGGACACCAAATATCAAATGTTGGTGAGGTTGTGGAGAAACTGGAACCCTTATGGAACACTGTTGGTGGGAGTGTAAAATGGTGCAACCTCTATGGAAGGCTGTATGGCGCTTTCTCAAAAAGTTGCAAATAGAAATACCATTTGAGGCAAGCTCTGGTGGCTTAGTGGCAAGAAGCTGCACTGCAATCTCAGAGGTGCACGGTTCGAATCCACCAGATGCTGTGCTGGAGAAGGAGGAACAATCTCCTCCTGTATCAGTCAGGTCTGATTTGACGGTACACACACACAAAAATAATGAAATAAAAGAAAAAAAAAAAGAAATACCATTTGACCCAACAATTCCACTACTTGAAATTTACCCTAAAAAAACCATAACTGTCACCCAAGCAGATATAAGCACACCCGTGTTTATTGCGGCTTTGTTCGCAATAGCAAAGAGCTGGAAACAACTCAAGTGCCCAAGCCATCAACAAAAGAGAAGCTGTGATACTACGGAGCGTTGAAAAACAAGGAACTCATGAAATATGCAAAATGGATGACCCAGGAGGACATTATGCTGAGTGAAATATCTCAGTCACAAAAGAACAATATTGCATAGGGCCACTGTTGTAAAATGGGACTGACATTGGGGTTGAAGGAAGACAGAAAAGGAGGGGAGGAATCATGTATACTGCATTGAAACAGATGAGGTAGAGAACTGTTTAAAAGGGACATATGAATAGGTATTCTTGTCTTTACAGAAGCCCAGAGTGAAGGCTGTACAGTGGAGTGGACTTGGGGCAGAGGGATTGCATAGCAATGAAAGAGTTTTTCTTTTCAAAAAGAAGAGTGAATTGGGGGGAGGGTTGGGTAGGGAGAAAAGTGCAACAATGAATGACTGGGAACCCTAAGTCTCTGTAAACTTTCATTAAAATTAATAAGAAAAAAAAGATATAGAAGTAATAATGTTAAATGGATCTCTCTCATGGATGTCAAGTTGGAAGCTGACTATGTAACGAGTTTTTAGAGGCTATAAATCACATGGCAGTATATTATCTCTTTCTCCCAAGGAGCAGCTGGTAGATTCAGACTGCTTGAGAAAGACGTCCTTTGGGTTTAAAGTAGCCAAGTCCCTAAGGACTATGCCCCCAGGGCACTAAATGAAGTTGGAACCTGTAAATAAATTTACAGATAAAATAGAAACATATCAAGTCTTAGTTCACATCCTGACTCCCAAATGAAATTTTTACTCACTGGGATTGTCTCTTGTATTTCTACTCAATTCAATCAACTCATTTCAGTCAAATTGGAACTAACTCATAGCTGACCCTCCAGTGGGTTTTCAAAACTTTAAGTTGCACAAGAGTAGATTGTCAGTCCATCTTTCACCCGCTGAACAGCTAATGGATTTGAACTGCCTGCCCTTTGGTTGGCTGTACAAATCCTTACCTACTAGGTCACTAGAGCTGCCTGTGTTTCTGTTGTTATGGGCCGTAGAGAAGACTCATGGCGCCTCTATTAACAGCTACGAATCTTGTCTGATCTGAGCCAGCCTCACCGTCTCTGACACACCTGACCCAATTGGCAACAGTCACTGTGCCAATCAATCTCATTTAGAGGCTTCTTCTCTTGTACTGGCCTTCCATGCATTTCCAAGCATGCTGTTGGTTAATTTTCTGATACATCTTCAGTCTCTACTGTAGATTTCTTATTTTATCTTAAGCTTGCACTTTGCTTAGTAACACACTATCTTAAACTTCCAACTTCCAAGTTTAAGATGATATGGCTTCCAAGAAACTCCAAACCCTGGCCCCTTCTGGCAACATGTCCAAAGTATGTGAGACAGAGTTCAAAACCCTTGCCTCCTAAGAGCAAGTTGGTTTCACCATCTCCAAAACAGACCTATTTGTGTCTCGGCAGTCCATGGTGTAAGTTCAATCCTCTTTTCCACTACAATAAATCTTCTATCATTCTTAGTCATTGTCCATCTCTCAGATGCATAGCAAGCAATTGAGAAGACCATGACCTGGACCAGGACCAGGTGTACCTTAGTCTCTAGACTGACATTGCTGTTCTTTAGCACTCTGGAGAGATTTGACAGCAGGTTTTTCCAGTGCAACTTGTTTTTTGATTTCCTGACTGCTAGTGCACGAGTGCTAATTGTGCATGTGAGCAACATGCATTAGTTAACAACTTCAATCTTTTCTCCATCTACCATGATGCTGTCTATTCACCTGGTGGTAAGGACTTTTTTTTTTATGTTGAGATATAATGCATATTGAAGGCTGCCGCCCTTGATCTTCTGCAGCAAACGCTTCAAGTCCTCTTCCATTCTGTGAGGAAGGTTGTGTCCTGCATAACACAGGTTGTTGATAAGTCTTCCTCCAATCCTGATAACACATTCTTCTTCACAAAGTCCAGCCTCTCCAGAGATCTGTTCTGCATATAGATTGACCCTGTGTAATGTGTAACTCAGTTAGAGATTAAGTTTAAAATAATGTGCAACTCAGGTAGAGATTAAGTTTAAGATAAAATGAACTAAGAATTCTGTAG